ATTGCTCGCCACACAAGAAGATAGGCCCAGACAAAGATTTTTTAGGTGGAGTCAAGAATTGCAGTTTTTTTTATTGGTCCAAAGAGAGGGTATCCCTACCACTGCAAACACTTGGCGAGCCCTTTGGAAAACCCCACTTTTGGGTGGCGAGGGTTAGGCTAGGCGAGGGCTGAACCTTTGCCCGAGGGCAAAGGTCCCTGGATCTTTCCGAGTGGGCTAGAGCTTCTTTCATGGGGTGCGTTCGACAGGCTACATCCCAAAAATCACGAGGCCGATATCGGCTGGAAAGCGTGGGATACCCCCAGGTCACACTCGGGGGGTAACCCTGATGTTCCCACCAACTTTCCCGCAGGTTACCCCAGAGGGCTGGCGATCTCTGCGAAGTGGTAATTCTCGCGATTGGGATTTCGGGTGATGAAAGCGGACCAATCAGGGGAGAGCTCCAGTTCGTTGTAACCCAGGAGATACCCCAACAGCTTCGGATCGAACCTGCTCACCTGGTTAGTGCACACTGTTTCGGCAACCACAGCTCAACCCAGGCACTGTACACGTTGAAGATCATGATAACATCAGCTATGTTCAACAATGATCTCTAAATATCAAGATTCTCTTTATTGAGGATCTACTGATGTGTTTCGCTAGGTGGCAGCAAGGATTTCGTGCACCAATCACATTTGTCCTAGTCACTTCAGCAAAAGAGTCCCTCCTAGATGTATTTCACAATCCCATCTCGACCACTTCCCTCATTATTTCTCGCTGCCAAGCTGTTTGAGTTCTAGGATTTCTCTTAACTCGCCGCCATGTCCGCATTTTACGCTGCCTAGATTTCCTAGACCTTTCTGGAGATTATACTTGAACGATAAGTAGCTTAGCTTCGGGTTTACACTTTCCGTTGTTAAGCAACGTCAATACCCTGGCGATTTTTGGCGTGCATGTTAATGCGCTTTTTTATCGTCAGTTGCTTAATTTTTTCCTCGCGCCATGTGTGTTTCTTTGCAGGCGTCGTCAACCGTCGTGCCAGGCGCTCATGTGTGGAGGTCAAGAATGTGTCTTCGTCGGCCGCGATGTCGTGAGAACGCTTCCTGTGTTCCATCTTCCGTGCGGTCATCGAATTTCGTTGCCTTCGTATCTGGTCAGATTTCTCTACTGGTGAGCATGCGGTGCATAATAGACACCAGTGGCGTGACAATAATGTTTCCTTGTGTACCGATGTTTTTCCCCTTTGTTCTCACTACTCTCACTCTTACCACCCTTTGTTAGAAACAATAGGAGTGGGGCCTAGGCTGAGTAGCCTAGGCCCACACTAAGAGTTAGGAGGTTGTGCCCTAGGACTAGGGTTTGTGGTATACGAAGGAGAATTGGAGAAGTGAGAATGGGAATGATGAGTTGAACTAGCAAGCAGCAGGATACATATAGGAAACCCTAAGGGGTTGTACTCACTATTGAGCACCCCACTGCAGGCTAGACAAATAACATAATCTGACACACCCCCATAGCCAAAGTGGGGTGTAATCAGCACACGTGAGAAGTCACAGCAATAGTTCACAATTATCAGCAAAGCTAGTGGCAGTCACAGGAGGCCAGTGAGGAGGAGGAGGAACTGTGGAGGGAGAGAAGAGAGGAGGCGACGACTGAAGTTGCAGACACACGGGCACCAGGAGCACCAGGCTGCAACCTCCTCCAACTGTCTCACTCCCCCCTACACACACCCCCAGGGTCACCACTCGCTCCTCGCCCACATCACCCCCCTAGCGCCACTCCCTCGTCTCCCACACATCCACCCCCCCGCAGCGGCAGCTGCAGCAGTGGGAGACGGAGGAGAAGGAAGGGGCGACGCACAAGGAGCACCCCCACACCCGCCACCCCCACACCCTCCTGTCCAGGGGACGCAGGGGGGGGGGGGGGGGGGAGGGCCGGGGCGGGAGAGCGCACGAGGGCGCGGGCAACCGCGCGTGCAGAGCAACAGCGCGGAGCAGGTAGGGTAGAGCGCACGAGGGCGCGGGCAACCGCGCGTGCAGAGCAACAGCGCGGAGCAGGTAGGGTAGAGCGCACGAGGGCGCGGGCAACCGCGCGTGCAGAGCAACAGCGCGGAGCAGGTAGGGTAGGGCGCGGGTGAGACTGAGCGCGACTGCACAGGGTCCAGGAGCGGCGTCGCGGGCAGCTGCATGGTCGGCTGCTGCTGGTGCGGTTGCTCCAGGGGCGGCGTCGCGGGCCCAGGGGCGGCTGCACCAGGGGCGGCGGCTCCAGTGGCGGCTGCTCCAGAGGCGGCTGCTGCAGAGGCGGGCGACTCCAGGGGAGGCTGCTGCAGTGGCGGGCGGCTCCAGGGGCGGCTGCTGCAGTGGCGGGCGGCTCCAGTGGCGGCTGCTGCTGTGGCGGGCGACTCCAGGGGCGGCTGCTGCAGTGGCGAGCGGCTCCAGGGGCGGCTGCTGCTGTGGCGGGCGACTCCAGGGGCGGCTGCTGCAGTGGCGGGCGGCTCCAGGGGCGGCTGCTGCAGTGGCGAGCGGCTCGAGGCGCGCCCTGGCCTGGCGCAGTCCGTACGGGCCGCGCTGGCGCTCGCGGCTGGCCGTGGCGCTGGCGTCCGCGCGGGGCGACGAAAGGGGGGGCGCGGGCCGACGGGAACGGGGGGCCGCGGGCGACGGGAACGGGGGGCCGCGGGCGACGGGAACGGGGGGCCGCGGGCGACGGGAACGACGCGGGGCGACGCGGGGGCGACGGGGCAGAAAGCCGCCGCGCGCCTCGGGGCGCACGGCGGGCAGAAAACCGCCGCACGCTTCGAGGGCGCGGCGGGATGAAAAATTAGGGTTTCGCCGCCGCGCACCACGGGGCGCGCGGCGGACACTACGGCAGCGGAAGCAGGTGGTGGGCCCATAGAGGTAAGCGGCAGGAACGTGCTCGCTCTAGATACCATGTTAGAAACAATAGGAGTGGGGCCTAGGCTGAGTAGCCTAGGCCCACACTAAGAGTTAGGAGGTTGTGCCCTAGGACTAGGGTTTGTGGTATACGAAGGAGAATTTGTCAGAATCCCAGCCACTAACCACTGGGATAGAAGGGCTTGTTTGTATAGCGGGTGAGTGCGCCCATAACCCCCCAGGCCGACATGCCTGTAACCCTTCCCTAGGATCATCGGGGATCCCCAGTGGACCTCTGACACCCCCCCGCACTGGGATGCCCGAGGTGCACACACCGGGAATCGAACCCGAGACCTTCGCTCTGATACCATGTCAGAATCCCAGCCACTAACCACTGGGATAAAAGGGCTTGTTTGTATAGCGGGTGAGTGCGCCCATAACCCCCAGGCCGACATGCCTGTAACCCTTCCCTAGGATCATCGGGGATCCCCAGTGGACCTCTGACAGAATTGGAGAAGTGAGAATGGGAATGATGAGTTGAACTAGCAAGCAGCAGGATACATATAGGAAACCCTAAGGGGTTGTACTCACTATTGAGCACCCCACTGCAGGCTAGACAAATAACATAATCTGACACCCTTCCCCTGTCTGAATGTCGCCACTTGGTGCAGAATACGGAAAGCGGTCCTGTCACGTATTCGTGTGGTAAGAATCCTGCAATATCGTGTGTTCCTGTTCTCTTTGTGTCGTGTGTTGCAGGAGCAAACTATCGTCTACATAGGGTAGTGAGGTTGTGCTGGAGCTCTCCTGAGTGATTAACACAGTTTTTATAACGTGCTGTGTCTGCAGAGTAGTGCACGTTGTCTGCATGTCAGAAAGTGTTTCTGTAATGTTTTATTAAAAATGTGCAGATTGATTAATGGAATCGACCAGCTTCTGTATACATATTATACTGGCACTAAGCCGTCTGTCTGTGACAAAAATTACTGTAAATGATTGATATCAATACTAATTGTGGTTATAGCCGAATGAAAATTATAATAGCATGTTTAGCTGACAAAAAAGAATATATAGTATTGTAGATATGTTGTTGTTGTAATCGAGTAAGTTTACAGCGCGGAAGCGGCTAGCGTGAAGCGGGAAGCGGGAACGCACGTGATTGGGCCCAAACTTCGCGGGAGGTAGAGTTGGGGTAACAGGTGGGTCACATCTCGGGGTCACCCCAGTGTGACAACGAACTGAATCCTCGACCGGGGTGACATTAGGGTATCACAGCTGGCGACCTTGGGGTATCACTAATCGGGGTAACACTGATGTGACCTTGGGGTAGAAATTTGCGGAGGATTTTTTTGGGATGTAACCCTAACCCTTGAGGTTCCAGAGGCTTAAAGCCCCGTGACACCACACGGGCTGACCGTGTAAAAATAACCAACATCGAAACAGCCACGAGGATTCCGCGGGCGTTGAGGCTAGCCTATCGAACAGGGCCTTCGGTTTGCGCGAGGTTCGTTCGCCTCGGATCACGCTTCGGTTCGTGCTGGTAAGGCAGTTCAGAGCTGTGGGGCAAACGAATCGCTCTGGAACGTACAACAACGTAGCCAACCGCTTTTTCGACCAAGAAGTGAAATAAGCGTGACCCACCCCTACCTTCAATGGTGCAAGTCCCCAACTGCCGTGATAATTATCACAACACATCGATAGCCGTCACTTACGGAGCCTCGCGCCGTGCTTTCACGCGTCATCGCAGACGTCGATCTAGGTGCTTGTAGAAAGACGGCAGGAATTCGTCTCGCTTTCCATTTCCGGAAGTCCGTTGTGATTATTGAGTCGTCTGAGGAGCAGTGCGCGGTCTCAAAAGTCGAACTGCACTCCCCGCGATGTACGCCGCCCGGGCCGCCTTTTCCTCTGACGAAACAGCTCGCTTTTCTTTAAGCATAAAATGGAGCCGCATCAGCGAATCTCAAATCACATCTCATCAGTCCGCTCGCTCTTGTTACCCCAGCCTCACCCAAACAGACTCCATTCAGCGCTAGCGCAGAGAGTTATATTATCCTGACTTCTAAAAGCCGCAGAGAGTTTAAGTAATCGCGAGCTCTCATTCTGCTTCCGATCTCGCCCAATCTCGGTCCTTTGGCAATGGCTTTCAACAGAATGCTGATTCTCCTGTGCTCTGCGTTCGGTAAGCTGTCAGATTCACCGTTGAGTGAGCGAGTGCTCGGATTTGATGCTGTTGGAGTAGCTCTCCCGTACTTCCCTCCCCTAATTTTGTCGTTTGCCTCCCTGTGCTCTCCTTTCCCTACTTCCCTTTCCGCTTCTTCCCTCTCGACCTGCTCTTCCCTCGCCTTTCCTACTCGTCCCTCTCCTCTCCTGCTCGTCCCTTTCATCTCCCGCTCTTCCCTCTCCTCCCCTGCTCTCCCTCCTGTTCTTTCCTGTTCTTTCCTGGTTTCCGGTCATGTTTTATCCTGTTGCTCCCTTTCCTCTTCTTCCTGCTATTTTATTCCCTCTCCTAATGTTCCCTGTCCTGTCATTTCGACTCTTGTTCGCTTCCCTCTCCTGTCCTTCCCTCTCCCATTCTTCTCTCTCCCGCTCATCTCTCATTTCCTCTCATCATGATCCCCTCGCTTGCCCGCCCCTCTCCCCCCATCCATATTCCACCCCCTTCTCCAGTATTCGCAATGCTCACCTCTGCACTCGCTGTGCCAGCTCTCGCTGACGTCACACCCACTGAAGCCACGCCTGCTGCTGACGTCACAGCCGTCAGCACTACCACCCACTCACTCACTGCACCTCGCAAGGTGCTGCTGGTGCAAGCCTCTGATCCTGGGCAGCGCAAGGGAGTACCTTCAAAGAAGTGCAATGGTAGCGGCAGCAGCAGCGGCAGCGGCAGCAGCGGCGGCAGCGGCGGCAGCGGCGGCAGCGGCGGCGGCAGCAGGGGAGTGGACAAGGCGGCGATTCTGGAGGAGCACAATAAGGCGCGGCGGGCAGTGGGAGTGCCGGCGCTCTCATGGGACGACAAAGTGGCAGCAGCAGCGAAGCAGTGGGCTGATCACCTCGCCTCCAGCGGATGCAAAATGAAGCACGGAGGGGCCAAGGGGCTTGGGCAGAACCTGTACTGGAAGCGCCCTGCCAAGCTGAACAGTGCCGAGGACGGGGCGGCGGTGCGGGCGTGGGTGGCGGAGAAGGCGCACTGGACGTACAGTGCCATGCCCAAGGGGTGTGCAGGCGGCAAGGTGTGTGGGCACTACACGCAAGTGGTGTGGCGCGGTACCCAGCGTGTCGGGTGCGCTGCTGCCCAGTGTGCGGATGGCGGGGGCATGTGGGTTTGCGATTACTCGCCGCCGGGAAACATGGTGGGGAAGACTCCGTATTAGCTCGCAACCATTTGCAGTTGAAAGGTGCTAGGAGATCTCGTGGGTATGCAAGCATCCGTATTACGGTAGCTAGCATCCGTATGCAGCGGAATGTTGCTGGGAGATGTGGTTAGTGTGCAAGGTGTGGTTTGCAGGTGGGCTGCGCTTGTGTGCGTATGCGTGAGAAACTAAATGAAATAAACGAGGGAGGTCAAGCCTTGGGGCTGGTGGGCTGGTGTTTTAGGTTCATTTCTTAGCTTTTGCTGTGTCTCAGATGCTCATGGATATTGTGGTATTCACCATATCAAATAATTGCGTTGTGGTGTGTCCTTATGCCTGAGAAACTGAGTAGAAATAAGTGGTGCTGGTGGGGTGGGGTGTAGTTAGTGATTGCGCTGTGGTTGCATGGGTAGTATGCATGAGGAGGAACCAAGAGGAAGTAATGGAGGCATACTGGTAAGACAAAACAAGCATGAACCCAGGTAGCATAACCCTGATATCTCATGCTGTATATGCTACAATACAGTCACGATAAGAACACACACAGGGAAAGAAACCCACACACAATAATCCAAAGCCCACATGAACCCAAAAGATTTGTGGCACGTAGCCTTGCAGCAGCCTTGGTGCTGTGGAGAAGGCAGCAGCAGCCAAAGGCTTGATGCCGAGCATGCAGCATGCTGTGAAGGAGTCCCGTGCAGCCTTTTTGCTGGCCCGTCAAGGCACCTGATGCTGCACCGTTTTGGTTTGGTTTAATTATGTTTATTTTAACTCACGAATGTGGTTTCGTGGTGTAGTTGGTTATCACGTCAGTCTAACACACTGAAGGTCTCCGGTTCAAGTCCGGGCGAAGCCAGCGTTTTGCCTCCATGTGTTACTCTGTTTACTCTTTTTGGCTGTCGCGAAGTTATCAGTTATTAGAGCTGGTCAGCATGTGAACGACACCGAGACAATTCTCTTAGGATGTGCTGATGATGCATAACCAGAATATTGATCATGCTCCCATGAAGCTGTTGTTCACAACTGCCCACTTACACATTCGTCCTACAGTATCTGCTGGCTACTCATTTCAGGAGCACGCTCTCTTCAAGAAGACAACTCATCCAACTTCTAAAATGCACCGACTCAATCATCCCCTGTATGGACATTTTCAAACCTTGGTCTGGTTCAAGCCGCCCCTGCTTGAACCCTTCACTGCCCTCGGTCCTGCTCAGTTGAACCCTTTTCTACCCTTAGCCTGATTCAAGCCGTCCCTGCCTGCAACCTTCGCTGTGACTTTTGAGTCGACTCAAAAGTCACCTCGAACCCTTATCTGCGCTTGACCTGGTTCAAGCCACCCCTGCTTGAACCCTTCACTGCCCTCCGTCCTGTTCAGTTGAACCCTTATCTGCGCTTGACCTGATTCAAGTCGCCCCTGCTTGAACCGCTGCCTCGCTCTTCTCTGCGTCGCCTTGTTGCAAGTCCCAGGAGGAAGCACACGGCACGCGGTAGCGCCTCAAGATCTGAGCGCTTGCCTGGAGGGGAAGAGTAGGTAGCGGAAGGGAGCAATGGAGAGAGTAAGGTGCACATGCAGAGGATGAAGAGGTGAGAGAGTGAGCAGGAAGCATACGGCACGCGGTAGCGCCTCAGGATCTGAGCGCTGGCCTGGAGGGGATGAGCACAGAGCGGAAGGAAGAGGGGGTTGAACATGCAGCAGAAGGAAGTGGTGAGAGAGCGAGAGGGAAGCACACGGCACGCGGTAGCGCCTCAGGATCTGCGCACTGGCCTGGAGGGGGGTGAGCACGCAGCGGAAGAGAGCAATGGAGAGTGTAGGGTGCATATGCAGAGGAAGAGGTCAGGGAGGGAGAGGGACGCACACGGCACGCGGTAGCGCCTCAGGATCTGAGCATTGGCCTGAGTGGGGGTGAGCAGGCAGAATAAGGAAGGGGTGAGAGAGCGAGAGGGACGCACAGGACATGCGGGAGCAGCTCGGAGTCTGTGAGTTGGCTGGGAGGGGAAGAATATGCAGAGGAAGCGAGGGATGGGAGAGTGCGATGGGAGAGGGCGATGGGAGAGGGCGATGGGAGAGTGTAAGATGCACATGCAAAGGAAGAGAGTTATGGGAGTGCAGAGCACGGGAGGGACCACCCCAGGAGGCGAATGGGAAAAGAGAGGAAGAAGCTGAGGCACGCTGCAAATTTGAGGGACTGCGTGAAGGGAAGGCACCGTTGGGTTCCGCACAGAAAACAGCGTTTCAGGAGCTTCAACTTGATTTACCGGGAAAGAGTTGAGCGAAAAAGAGACAAGCTGGCTCTCACCTCAAAGCAAGCGACCCAAACTTTATTTGACTGACGAGCTCAGAGCTGTTCAGCCCGTGCTTATTGGGTGAGCTCTTACCTTCTTCAGGGTTTCTTGCTGCTTGGCTTGCCTTCACCAAGGGGCGTCCTTCACTTACAGGTGTCTCCTTACCTTCTTGGCAGCTCACCTTCTTGCCACCTCACCTTCTTGCCAGCTCACCTTCTTGCCACCTCACCTTCTTACCACCTCACCTTCTTGCCACCTCACCTTCTTGCCACCTCACCTTCTTGCCAGCTCACCTTCTTGCCAGCTCACCTTCTTGCCACCTCACCTTCTTGCCAGCTCACCTTCTTGCCACCTCACCTTCTTGCCAGCTCACCTTCTTGCCAGCTCACCTTCTTGCCACCTCACCTTCTTGGCAGCAGCGACGCTGACAGCAATCACGCGGTCGTCGTCCAAATCAAATCTGACAAAGCCGTCCGTGCACTGTAGCACTTCGTCGCGTAGCTGCCTCAGGTTGTCCACCTCCTTGCCGTTGACTCGCTTGACCTGGATAGGCATAACAGAGGGTGGTTGGGATGGGACCAACATACAGGAGGGAACATCACTTTTGAGGGTACTACACAAAAGAAGGGGCTCAGGTTGTCCACCTCCTTGCCGTTGACCCGTTTGACCTGGAGGGGCATAAACAAAGGTGGTTGAATTGGGACCAACATACAGGAGGGAACATTTTGAGGGTACTACACAAAAAAGGGCCTCAACTTGTCCACCTCCTTGCCGTTGACTCGCTTGACCTGGATAGGCATAAGCAAAGGGTGGTTGGGTTGGGACCGACTCAAAGGGGAAAAGAGCAGCTGTTGACTCTCTTGACCTGGAGGAAAAACAAGATATAGTGACCTGAATGGAAAGGGAAAAAAAGGAGATGATCGAACCAAAGAAGGAGTATACGTGGAGGCATTGGAATAAAGGGCAATACGAGCATGAGTGAAGCAGTGGCCTCTAGTGATGGGACTGGTGGGGTGCAACCGAGGGAACAAATGCGATACAAAGTCACATCCACACCCAGATGCATCATGCATATGCACACACGGAAATGCCACGTGCACACATGGAAATGTCACGTGCACACATGGAAACGTCACGTGCACACATCCTCCTCCTTCCATGTGCATGTTAATCGCCCACTAATAGCCTCTTCCTCCACAGTCCACATGTCAGTGTCACATGAAAGTGCCGCAGTGCCCCGCCCCATTGGAACCCCTCCTCCCCCTTTCAGTTCAATTCCCGTCGTAGGCAATTCCAGCCTCTGCGCTTCCTCCTCACCTGCAGCTCCGCCAGCCGTTCAAAACCAGAGTTCACCTCATGTGCCAGGACCTGCCGTGCCTTCCCTCCTCACCCTGCACTGCACTGAATTCTCCCCCCCTTCCTCACACCGAACAGCCACCCCCCTTCCCTCCTCAGCTTGCGCTGAACTGGGCTCCTCCCATCTTCCCTACATTGAACAGCCACCCCCCTCCCCCTCACCTGCAGCTCCGCCAGCCGCTCAAAGCCCGAGTTCACCTCATCTGCCAGCACCTGTCGTGGTGAGGGCAGGGGGGATGCATGGTAGTGGGAAGGGAATGGGGAGGGAAGGGAAAGAGTGGGGGTGAGTGGGAAGGGGCATGACTGGCATCGGGGAGGGAATGGGGGGTGAGTGGGAACGGGGACAATTAGGAGTTCACTTCTGCCAGCACCTGCCGTGGTGAGGGCAGGGGATATGAGTGGCAGCGGAAAGGAAATGGGGAAGGGAGGGGAAAGAGTGGGGTGTGAGTGGGAAGGGGCATGCCGGCACCTGCCGTGGTGAGGGCAGGGGGAATGGGATGAGACAGAGAACAGGAGATGGGGGAGTGAGTGGCAATGGGAAGAGGGGGAGGAGAGAACGAGTGAGGGGGCAGGCGCAGGGCCAGTGAACGAGACAAGAGCAGCAGGATTGTGGGGATCAGAGTGAAGAGAAGAAGGACGGGTGGGTGGATATGATACACGTGCTGAGAGAGCGAAACGAAAAGACGAAATGGGTGGGGGTTGAGTGGGAAGGGAAAACAAGATACGAGCACACTACCCGACGCCTTTCGTCACACTCTCCCGTGACAGAATCCCGCTCTGCTAGCTTGGCTTGGAGGGGATGTCCCTCATCGCTCGCACGCACACGCACACGTACGCTCGCCCTCCCATTCTCACCCGACCCAACTCCCCTCAACCCCTACCCCCCTCCCACTCACCCGCGACAGGATAACAATCTGCTGGCTGGGCTTGGAGGGAATGTCTCTCAGCTCGCGCTCGCACAGCCTTCACGGGCTGCTGTTGAACCAGTCAGGGCCGTACTCGTGCAGGTACGGCTGGGTCAGCTCAGCGGCACGAACACCACCTCAGTGCGCCCCTCGCCCTCCCCATTTCCTTTCTCCCTACCCTCCCTCCCTCCCTCCCTCCCCCCCCCCCCTCCCCCCTTCCCTCCCTTCCCCCCTCCCCTCCTTCCCCCTCCCACTCACCCGCGACAGAATCACGATCTGCTGGCTGGGCTTGGAGGGGATGTCCCTCAATGCGCGCTCGCACAGCCTTCTCGGGCTGCTGTTGAACCAGTCAGGCCCGTACTCGTGCAGGTACGGCTGGGTCAAGGGCACGAATACTAGGCCCGCGAATATGAAGTAGGAGGGGGAGATGTCGAATTGCTGCGCTGGCACCAGTGCTGGGATCTGACGGGAGGAGCAGAAAAGAGGGGGGGAAGGGGGGGGAAGGAGGGGTAAAGGGGGGGAAGAGGGGGGAAAGGGGGGGAAGAGGGGGGAAAGGGGGGGAAGAGGGGGGAAGGGGAAGAGGAGAGGGGAAAAAGGTGGGGAGGAGGACGGGCATATGGGAGGGAAGAAGCAGGACTTGGGACCGTACTCGTGCAGGTAGGGCTGGGTCAGCGGCACGAAGACCAGACCGGCGAATATGAAGTAGGAGGGGGAGATGTCGAACTGCTGCGCTGGCACCAGTGCTGGGATCTGGTAGAAGGGTGGAGGATGAGGGAGGGAAAGGGGGAAAAGTGGGGCGGAAGGAAACAAAGGGGGGGTCAGAAAGAGAGAGGGGGGCCATACGGAAGGGGACGGCAAGCACGGCTTAAGTGAGTTTAGGTTGTGTAGGCCTCACCGGGTTGAGCTGGACGTTGTAGTCCATGGGCTGGCCCGTGCTGGCCCGTGCTGCATGCCGCTGCACCAAAACTTTACCACTGATGCATTCTCATTCTCCCAGCGCGTCCTTTCAGCCTTGATCTGCACTGCACGCCTCACCGCCTCACCACCTGATCGGGTGGAGCTGGGTGACAAATTTCAAGGGCTGGCCATGCCGCTTCAGCACTGACAAACACTCTAGTGGTCCTGGCAGTGCAGCAGTGGGTGTGGGTGCAGTGCATTGGGTGCAACCGCAAACACACCTTTTTTTAGCCCTCGTAGGGAAGGAACGTACCGGAGCCGGATGTGGGTTGCCCGTGTCGCAGCACCGACACCCTTGCACTTTGGGCAGTGCAGCAGTGGGTGTGGGTGCAGTGCACTGTGTGTGAACCTCTAAGGGAACACACCGGGTTGAGCCGGATGTGGAAGTCCATGGGTTGCCCGTGCCGCAGCACCGACACCCGAGCGCTCAACCGCTAATGCAGCTACCTGGCAGGCTCTTTCAACCTTGCTCTGCGTGCCTCACCGGGTTGAGCCGGATGTGGAAGTCCATGGGTTGCCCGTGCCGCAGCACCGACACACGTGCGGTCTCCCCCACCGGCTTGAGCGACACGAGGTAGTCAAAGGGCAGCCGCTCCCTCTTGCGGAACATGACTGGGTGGAGGCAGGAAGGGACGGATGAGAGAAACATAACAGGGGGGCAGAGGAACAGGGCCGGAGCGGGAAGGGGCATGGAGGATATCAATAGCTTGAGCGACACGAGGTAGTAAAGGGAGGCGCTCCTTCTTGCGGAACATGACTGGGGGGTTGGGATGGGGGGGAAGAAGAGGGAGAGAGGAGAAGGATGAAAGAGTGGATAGCAGTCACTCGGCTTGAGAGACACGAGGTAGTCAAAGGGGAGGCGCTCCCTCTTGCGGAACATGACTGGAGAGGGGGAGAGGGGAATAGGGGGGGGCGGGAGGTGGGAGGAGGGGGGAAAAAGGCAGCGAGGCAAGGGATGCGAGAGATGATAAGATACCAGTCGCTTGGCTTGAGCGACACGAGGCAGTCAAAGGGCAGCCGCTCCCTCTTGCGGAACATGACTGGAGGGAGGCGGGAGGGGGAGAAATGGATGAGCGAGAGAGGATAACAGTTCCCGGGCTTGAGCGACACGGGTGTGTGTGTGGCATGGCATGTTTCGAGTCAGACTATAGATTCAACAACGACTCTTATCATTGGCTGGCTACTCACTGGAGGCGTCATTTGTGATCGGGACGCCCGCCATGTTAGAATCTATCTTCTCTTGTAACCTGCATAGATGTTATAGGATAGGCTAGAGATAAGCACCCAAACTTAGTTTGGGTGTACAAGCAGGGGTTACCCAATTTGTAGGTTGGAAACCCAACCTTGGTCCAATTATTGGACCCCAAAGGTTGGGTTGGGTAGAATTATTGGTTCACACCAATAATGTTGGCCCAACCCCAACTTGGCCAACATTATTGGACCCCACCAATAATCCCCCAACCCAACTTCATGGGTGGGGTCCAATAATGGTCACCTAGGCTAGGATCCAACCCATTCCCTATGTAAACCCCCATTCTCCTCAATCCAACATCAACTTCTCTTCTAACTTTTCTTCTCACATGGTATAGAGCTCTTAAAAATCCTAGGCCTACGCTCCTAGTTTTTTTTCAAAGGCCGCCGCAACCCCCGGCCTCCCTTCTCAAATTTTCCGCGGCTATCTCGCCACCCTCCCCCTCTCCTCAAGCACTCCCTTCCTCGCAGCCCCACGGCCTCCCACGCCATCACGGCCCGCGCCGCTCCCTTCCCCGGCCCCACCGCCGCTTCCGCGCTCGCCTTGTCGCGGTCCCGCCGACCGCCACCGCCCGCCCCATTCCGCGGCCTCGACGCCGCCTCCGCGCCAACGCCACTGCGGCTCCACCAGCCGCCGTCGCCGCCGCCGCTCCCTTCCGCGGCCTCGTCGCCGCCTCCGCGCCTGCACTGCCGCGGCTTCGCCAGCCGCCGCCGCTCGCGCCGCTCCCTCCCGCGACCCCGTCGCCGCTTCCGCGCCTGCACTGCCGCGGCCTCGCCAGCCGCCGCCGTCCGCGCCGCTCCCTCCCGCGGCCTCGTTGCCGCCCCCGCGTCTACGCTGCCGCAGCCTCGCCAGCACCGCAGTTCGCGCCGCTCCCTCTCGCGGCCTCGTCGCCGCCTCCGCGCCTGCACTGCCGCGGCTTCGCCAGCCGCCGCCGCTCGCGCCGCTCCCTCCCGCGGCCTTGTCGCCGCTTCCGCGCCGGCACTGCCGCGGCTTCGCCAGCCGCCGCCGCTCGCGCCGCTCCCTCCCGCGGCCTTGTCGCCGCTTCCGCGCCTGCACTGCCGCGGCTTCGCCAGCCGCCGCCGCTCGCGCCGCTCCCTCCCGCGGCCTTGTCGCCGCCTCCGCGCTTGTACCGCCGCGGCTGCGCCAGCTGCCGCCGCCGCCTGCGCCTCTCCGCGGCCCCATCGCCGCCTCCACGCTAGCGCCGCCGCGGCCTCGTCAGCCGCCGCCGCCAGCACCGCTCCCCTCACGGCCTCGTCGCCGCCTCCGCGCCAACGCCACCGCGGCCCCACAAGCCGCCGCCGTCCGCGCCGCTCCCCTCTGCGGCCTCGTCGCCGCCTCACCTCCCTCTCCTCTGTGACCACTGCGGGTCCCCCCGCGGCCGTCCTTCATGGCTACCGCCGCACCTTCCCCCGCCCCCCTCCCTCTTCGTATTGATACGTCCTCCGTCGATAAGCTGCAGCTTGCCGCAGACAAATCCGCCGTCAATTGGCACTCCTTCGTCGGCAGCATCCGACGAGTTCTCTCCGACGCATGGGTTCCCCCCTACCGTGTCCTTGATGTCCTCCTCCGCCGTCCCCAGGCACTCCCCCCCACCGAACCTGAACACCCAGGCGAGACTCCTCCTCTCCATCCCTCTCCCGGCGATCCTCCTCTTGAACCCGACCTCCAACGCACAGGCGACCAAGCCATTGCTGATGCAGACTTCATCTTACGCCGCCGTGCGTACCTTATCAAGAAAGCAGAGTACGATGCAGCAGTCGAAGCCTATGACCAGGCGGTTGCTGGCCGCAACGCTCACCTCGCCGTCGTCGCCAAATACAAAGACGACATGGCCACCCACATCCCGAAACTTATCGCCTGGACAACTGCTGACACTCGTGCCTGCACCGTTCTCCTTGGGGCTCTCCCTGACTCCCTCATGCGCCGCTTCCAGGCTCGAGAGCTTCGGGCCTCGGTCATCTGGGCAGAACTCCATGCGATGTTCGAACGCCGCGACATCAGCTCGGTCGGTATCCTGTTCCAAGAATACTTCTCAATCACCCTTGCTACCTGTGACGGAGCGGTCGACTACATCGGACGCATGCGGGAGGTAGCTGATCGTCTCGACGCCCGCCAAGCCGGCCTCTCCGAACCTCTCCAAATCCATCGCCTCCTGTTTAACCTCACTCCCGACTATGAATCCCGCCTTCACGCCTTTACCGAGGCCAATCCCCTAGCCGATCTCGCCTCCGTTGAACAGTGGATCATAGACACCGAAGTCAAACTTCGCACCCCCGTCGTCAACCTCGCCTCCTCCCAACCCTCCTCCTCCTCCCTCAACGCTACTCAGCCCCGCAAGCAGGGCAAGAACAACGGCAAGGGGGGCGGTGGAGGCAAGGGAGGTAGCGGCCAAGGCAGCAGCAACGCGAACAGACGCAGCGGCACCACTGGAGACGAGCATGGCACCCCCAATACAGGCGGAGCCCCTGCAATCAGTGGGACCCGCTCTGGTACTCTTCCGCCCTGCACCTATGTCCGCCGCTATGGTCCCCGGGCTGGCACTCCCTGCGGACAGACCAACCACCCTCCTGCCACCTGCTTCAAGGCCCTCGATGATGCTTGGTACGCACGAGGCAACATTGGCAATCCTCCTAAGTGGGCAACAATCTCCCCACGTCCCTCCCCCACTGACATCCAAACCAACCCCGCTTACCTCCCCGCCCACCTCCGCCTCCTTGCTCCCCCCGCGCCCTTCCTCAACCTCCAGCAGCAGCACCTCCTGCAGCAGCAGCAGCAGCAGCAGCAGCAGCAGCAGCAGCAGCAGCAGCAGCAGCAGCAGCAGCAGCAGCACCAGCAGCAGCAGCAGCAGCCGCAGCAGCAGTTACAGCAGCTGTTTTACCCACAGCCGCAGCAGCAGCACCCATGGGGATCAGGGCCCCAGCCCCAGTGGGGACCCAGCCCTCCTCCCTGGCAGCAGCAGCAGCTAAACTTTGGCACAGCAGCCATGGCCGCCCAGGCCTCCCCGGCTCCCCTTTGGGGTGCTCCACCCCCCCCCAGTGGCACTGCCACCCCTCTCACTCAGGAAAGCTTTCTTGGCAACATTTCTGTCTCACCCTCTCTTCCTTCCATGTACCCATCCAACATTAATGAAACCACTTTCCAGTACTCCGTGTCTTCCTCCTCCTCGCCCACTCTGGACTTTGTCCTAGACAGTGGGGCCACTGAAACTGCTCTCAAAGATGCTGGTACACTCACACCCCTCTCCCCTCCCACTCAAGTTCACGGTGCTGACAGCAGCTTCACCATCCCATGCACACACCTCTCCACTCTCCCCTGCTCACTCTTCCCCTCTGGTAAGGTAACTGGTCTCCACATCCCCACTCTCCGAAACAACCTCCTCTCCCACCGTGAAATCCAAGGTGCAGGTATCACTGCGGTCTATCCTGGTAATGCCACCTACTGTGACCTTTACCATACTGCCTCCGGCCGCTTCCTCCTCCGCATACCCCTCTGCCCCCGCACTCGCCTCTACACTCTCCGCACTCCGTGGCCATCCTCCTGTCATGTCACCACTCGTGCGGGTACCTCCACTAGCCCTCCCCATCTCCCTCCCTCCCCTCCCACTCCACCATCCCCCCACTCCTTCATCCCGCCCTCACTCGTTCCAGCCCCCTCCACCTCCGACCATCTCTCCCACCCCGCTGTTCTCCTACATCACCGACTCGGCCATCCCAATTTCGCCGCTCTCCGCACTGCCGTCACCTCACGACTTCTTCACAGCCTCCCTCCCACCCTTCCTCCCCTTCCCTCCTCCCCGGCCCCCCCATGCCCCTCCTGCATCCACGGCAAACTCAAACAATCCCCTCATCACAGCCACCCCTCCTTTGCTCCTGCACCAATTGACCTCGTCCATATGGACCTCTGGGGGCCCTCTCCCACCCGCTCACGCCAAGGCCATCGCTACATGCTGGTTCTTGTTGACGATCATAGCCGCTACTCCACCGTTTTCCTCCTCCACACAAAAGATCAGGCGCCGACCATGATCATTCGCTGGGCAGAACAATGCCGCACCCACTTCAAACGTCCCATCGGCCGCCTCCACTCTGATGGGGGAGGCGAATTCCTCAATCGCACTCTCTCTCACTACTGCACCACTCATGGCATCCAACAGACCCACACTCTTCCCCACTCCCCACAGCAGAACGGCATCGCAGAAAGCCGCATCCGCGAAATTACCAAGATCGCCCGCTGTCTCCTCGCTCACGCCTCCACACCCCCTTCTCTCTGGGGCTATGCCCTCCTTCATGCTTCCCTCCTCCTCAACCTTCACTCCCATCCTCAACACACTGCCACTACCCCCACGGAGCTCTGGTCAGGGTCCAAACCTGACGCTGCTGGACTCCGTGTCTGGGGTTGCAAGGCATATGTGCTCATCCCTCCACCTGAACGCACCCACGGCAAGCTCGCTCCTCGTGCCCTCGAGTGTGTCTACCTTGGCCACAACCGCGACTCGCCTGGTTACCTTTTCCTCCACCCTCCCTCTGGTCGCCTCATCCGCAGCATCGACGTTGTGTTCGATGAGACCACCCCATACTACTCCTCTCCACCACCAGACCCCCTCCCTCCTCCTACACGTCCTCTCGCTTGGACCGACACTGTCCTCCCTCCCCTCCTCCCTCCAGCACCTCTTCTCCCACCCCTCCCCACCCCGCTTCCGCCACCTTCATCTGCCGATATCTACGATCCCACTGCTCCAACATCCCCTGCACACTCCGCAGCTCCCCCTCCCTCCTCTCCTTCCCACTCTCCTTCTCATCCATCCCAGCAGCAACAGCAGCAGCCGCAGGGGCAGCAGCAGCAGCCACAGCAGCAGCAAACAGCCGCAGGGGCAGCAGCAGCAGCCGCAGGGGCAGCAGCAGCAGCAGCAGCAGCAGCAACAGCCGCAGCAGCAGCAGCAGCCGCAGGGGCAGCAGCAGCAGCCGCAGCAGCAGCAGCCGCAGCCGCAGCAGCAGCAGCAGCCGCAGCAGCAGCAGCAGCAGCAGCAGCCGCAGGGGCAGCAGCAGCGGGGGCAGCAACAACAGCAGCAGCACCAGCAGCAGCAGGGGCAGCAGCAGCAGCCACAGCAGCAGCAGCAGCAGCCGCAGGGGCAGCAGCACCAGGAGGGACAGCAGCCGCAACAGCAGCAGGGGTTCCAGCAGCACCAGCAGCAACAGCGGCGGAGGGCAACTGCCCGCTCCTCACCTTTCCTCCTCCCTCGCATGCACACCCGCTCTCTTGATCCCATCCTTGGCACTCCGCCACCTTCCTCCCTCAGCCAGCTCGAGGACTCCCATGAGGAGTTCGCCATGGTCCAGCGCCACACTCCCTCTCTTTCCACCCTCTACCCTGACCTCCTCGGCGCTCTACTCCTTAGCGCGATCTCCGCTCCCACCATCTTCGTCCCCACCACCTTCCAGGAGGCTATCACCTGCCCTGACGCTGACAAGTGGATAGCCGCTATCTTCCTGGAATGTGAGGCGTTCATCCGCAACGACTCCTTTATCGACGTTCCCCTTCCCCCTGACGCCAACCTTGTCGAGGGCAAGTGGATCTTTCGAGTCAAACAGCTGCCGGGAGAGGAACCAGTCTACAAAGCCCGCTATGTTGCTAAGGGGTTCACCCAGACCTGGGCTGAGGACTACTGGTTCACATTTGCCCCCACCCTCAGGCAAGCCACCCTACGCACCCTTATGGATATCGGTGCGCGGGACGACATGGAGATTGACTCCATGGACGTCTCCAACGCTTTCCTGCAAGGTGAACTGCACGAACGCATCTTTCTCCGCCGACCTCCCGGGTTCCATGCTACGTTCCCCGACAACACCGTCTGGCAGCTGAAGCGACCGGTCTACGGCCTGAAGCAGGCACCACGAGAATGGCATGCGAAGCTGTCTGCTACTCTCCAGTCCCTTGGCTTCTCCCCCTCCCACTCCGACGCCAGCCTCTTCATCCGCTCTTCCCCCAGTCGCTTCTTCATCTCGGTCTACGTCGATGACATGATCCTGCTCGCTGACACCAGGGCTGACATGGATCAAGTGAAACGGTCTCTTCAGGAACGTCTCAAGTGCAAGGACCTTGGTCCGCTGCAGAACTACCTCGGCATGGCTATCACTCGTGATCGATCCGCCCGCACCATCACCCTCTCCCAGTCCCACTACATCGGCCAGGTCCTGGAAAAGTTCGAGATGGCACAGGCCAAACCAGTCTCCACACCCCTCCCCTTCGGTCACCAGCTTGCGCCACCCACCTCCCCCTCCACCTCCTCCCGGCCCTACGCCGAGCTTGTTGGGTCGCTGATGTACGCGATGATGTGCACTCGTCCCGACCTCGCCTACCCTGTCAGCGTCCTTGCTCGATTCGTAGGCCCCCGCCGCCACACTGAGGAACACTGGACTGCCGCCAAGCGAGTCCTCCGCTATCTTCGTGGCACCAGGGACCACGCTCTCACACTGGGTGGATCTTCCCCCCCCCTTCTCTCTGGCTTCAGCGACTCCTCCTGGGCAGACTGCCAGCCAGACCGCCGCTCCTCCCAAGGCTATGGCTTCACCCTCGGTAGCGGCCTTATCAGCTGGCGCTCTACTCGCTCCTCCGCCATCGCCCTCTCCTCCTGTGAAGCTGAGCTCTATGCTGGCACCATGGCCGCGCAAGAGTCCCGCTGGCTCTGCTTCCTCCTAGCTGAGCTTGGTGTTCCCCAGCGCTGCCCCACCCTCTGGTGTGACAATGCCAGCACCATCCATCTCACCCAAGACCCCGTTTTTCACGGTCGCTCCAAGCACATTGAGCTCCGCTATTTCTTCATCCGTGAACTCGTCCAACAGAATCTCATTGCCGTTCGTAAGATCGCCGCTGAAGCCAACCTGGCAGATATCTTCACCAAAGCACTTCTTCGCCCTGCGCACTCTGCTCTTCTCCCCCGGGCCTCGCTCCCTCGGGCGCGCCTTGATTCAGGGGTTGCTTCACTCAAGCCTTTCCACATCTCTGCAGGTTAAGGGGTTGTGTTAGAATCTATCTTCTCTTGTAACCTGCATAGATGTTATAGGATAGGCTAGAGATAAGCACCCAAACTTAGTTTGGGTGTACAAGCAGGGGTTACCCAATTTGTAGGTTGGAAACCCAACCTTGGTCCAATTATTGGACCCCAAAGGTTGGGTTGGGTAGAATTATTGGTTCACACCAATAATGTTGGCCCAACCCCAACTTGGCCAACATTATTGGACCCCACCAATAATCCCCCAACCCAACTTCATGGGTGGGGTCCAATAATGGTCACCTAGGCTAGGATCCAACCCATTCCCTATGTAAACCCCCATTCTCCTCAATCCAACATCAACTTCTCTTCTAACTTTTCTTCTCACACGCCAAACACCGTCAAACATGTAGTCATGGCGCAGGCAGCAAGGTGATGCTAGATTCGACTCAACAAGTTTGTTATAGCATTTTATGAGTCAGACTCAAGGCTCAACAATCACTCACTTGAGCCGTCGTTGGCTATCCGGAAGCCGTCAAATGCCGTGAGCACGTCCCCGCTGCGCAGCCAGCGGCTGGAGACGCTCAGCGGCTGCACTGTCTCAACTTTTGAGTCGACTCAAAAGTCAACTCGGCTGCACCGTCTCGTTGCGCAGCCAGGAGAACTTAGAGTCGACTCAACAGCGTGTTGCGGAATGTTTTGACTCATACCAACCAAACCAATGTCTCAACAAGCACTCACTGGAGCCGTCATTGGATATTGGAACGCCATCAAACGCCGTGAGCATGTCGTCGTTGCGCAGCCAGCGGCTGGAGTCGACTCAACAAGTGTGTTGCAGCAGCATGCTCTGAGCTGAGGTAGGGCAAAAGCGTCCCTCAACAGGCACTCACTTGAACCATCATTCGCAATGGGAACCCCATCGAACGCCGTGAGCACGTCGTCGTTCTTCAGCCAGCGGCTGGAGTCGACTCAAGAAGTCTATTGTAGGATGTTCTGAGCCATACTCAAGGCTCAACAATCACTCACTCGACCCATCGTTGGCAATGGGAACCCCATCGAACGCCGTCAGCACGTCGTCATTCTTCAGCCAGCGGCTGGAGTCGCTGAGCGGCTGCACGGCGTTGACGACCACTCCCGTGGCGCCACGTGGCATCTTGAGGTGCGCCCGCAGCTGCCAGTTCTCGAGCGGCTGACAGGAGACACCAAGCGAGGCAAAGCCCGGGAAGCGGCGGTGACCCAACGCTGCGTCTGCCAGGAAGCGACGGATGATTGGCACTGGGACGATGTAGCTGGGGGGAGGGGGGGGAGGGAGGGGGAAGAAAGCGGGTGGGGTGTGGGGGTAGCAGGGTGGGGGGGATGGGAAGGCAGGAAGGATAACGCAGCTGATCCTGGGAGTGTCCCAGCTCCCCTCACCTGCACCTCCCCTCACCTGCACCTCCCCTCACCTGCACCTCCCCTCACCTGCACCTCCCCTCACCTGCACCTCCCCTCACCTGCACCTCCCCTCACCTGCACCTCCCCTCACCTGCACCTCCCCTCACCTGCACCTCCCCTCACCTGCACCTCCCCTCACCTGCACCTCCCCTCACCTGCACCTCCCCTCACCTGCACCTCCCCTCACCTGCACCTCCCCTCACCTGCGCCTCCCCTCACCTGCGCCTCCCCTCACCTGCACCTCCCCTCACCTGCACCTCCCCTCACCTGCACCTCCCCTCACCTGCACCTCCCCTCACCTGCACCTCCCCTCACCTGCACCTCCCCTCACCTGCACCTCCCCTCACCTGCACCTCCCCTCACCTGCACCTCCCCTCACCTGCACCTCCCCTCACCTGCACCTCCCCTCACCTGCACCTCCCCTCACCTGCATCTCCCCTCACCTGCATCTCCCCTCACCTGCATCTCCCCTCACCTGCATCTCCCCTCACCTGCACTTCCCCTCAGCTGCACTTCCCCTCACCTGCACTTCCCCTCTCTTGCACTTCCCCTCTCCTGCACTTCCCCTCTCCTGCACTTCCCCTCTTCTGCACTTCCCCTCTTCTGCACTTCCCCTCTCACCTGCACCTCCCCTCATCCACCCACTCCACTACTACCCTCCCACTTGCACTCAAACCAGCACGTGCTTTCCCGATTCGTTCTACCACCTTACCACTTCATCCCACGACCAGCCACCTCACCGCCACCCCACCCCATTGCCTCATCCAACATTCTCCGCCCCTGACAGGTTATGGAACGCCAGCCCTGCCACGCGGTATTCTAATTGCTGGGCTCCCTCAGCTACCCTACCTGTGCACCAGTGATTGTGATCGCATGCACCTCAGCGGTTTGCTCTTTCACCAACTCACTCACCCGATGTTCCCCGCCCCAGATAAGTTCTGAAACGCCAGCCCCGCCACGCGGTACTCCATCTGCTAAATTCCTTCGTCTGCTACTCTACCTTACACCTTCGATCACGTGCAACTCAACGGTTTGCTCTCTCAGCAAGCAACTCACTCACCCAATATTTTCCGCCCCAGATAAGTTCTGGAACGCCAGCCCTGCCACGCGGTATTCCATCTGCTGCCCCCCGTCCGCCCCCTGCTCCCCCTCACCCCCCCCCCCCCCCACACCCCTCTCCCCATCCCTCCTCCCCCTGCTTCCACCCCACTCCCCCATCCTCCATCCACTCCTCCCTCTCCCCCTGCCATCCCCAATTCGCCTCCTTCCATCACTCCTCCACCTTCTACCCCCCCAGCAGGGGCGGCAGCAGGGGCGGCAGGGGCGGCAGGAGGGGCGGCAGCAGGGGCGGCAGGAGGGGCGGCAGGGGCGGCAGGGGAGGCAGGGGGCATGATGAGGGCGGGGCCGCCGCTGTTGCCGGGGTTGATGGCGGCGTCGATCTGAATGGCCAGCAGGTGAGCCGCGCTGTGCACATACTGGGTGGGCTCAACCCGTGATACCACGCCCATGGTGATGCTGATGTTGTCGCCTCCTGACATGGGGAGGTGGTGAAAGGTGTTGAGGAGAGGGAGATGTGAGAGTGCATCGTCGATCTGAATGGCCAGAAGGTGGGCCGCGCTGTGCACGTACTGAGTGGGTTCCACTCGAGACACCACGCCCATGCTGATGCTGATGTTGTCGCCGCCTGGGGAGGTGGGAGAGTTGAGGGGTTGGGGGTGGTTGGGCAAGAGAGCAGCAGTGTGGGTGAGGGAGGGGTTGATAGCGGCGTCGATCTGAATGGCCAGCAGGTGCGCCGCACTGTGCACGTACTGAGTGGGCTCAACTCTTGATACGACTCCCATGGTGATGCTGATGTTGTCGCCGCCTGACATGGGGAGGTGGTGAAAGGCATTGTGTTGGGAAGGAGAGAGAGATGTGAGTGTGGTGGTGCTTTGAATGGCCAGAAGGTGGGCCGCGCTGTGCACGTACTGAGTGGGTTCAACCCGTGACACCACGCCCATGGTGATGCTGATGTTGTCGCCTCCTGGTACAGGTGGGAGGGGAGGTCATGATGGCGAGCAGGTGAGGTGCGGTGCGGTGCGGTGCGTGCACGTACAGCACGAGAGATTGTGAGACTCTCAGGGGTTCGCTGCCCTGTGCAGCGAGCCCCTGAGAGCCTCACAACCTCATTGCTTGGCCTCCTTGACCTTAGCCATTCCCAAACTCACCCACCTTGCGGGCATCCCACCACAGCAATCGACTCCTGCAGCAGCGGCACATCCCCCAGCTCTAATGCGCGCATGCATTGCAAGAACCCTCAACACCAGGGCAAAAGGCTTACCTCTGACCTTATTCTCACAAGCAGCAGCACATTTCAAATGAGCGACATTCCAACATGCACGCACCTTGCGGGTATCCCACCACAGCGATCGAATCCTGCAGCAGCGGCATGCCCCCCAGTTGCAGCCTGCAGCGCGCGAGACCAATGGACCCATACTTGACAGGGTTGCGAGGCAGCAGTTCTTGCAGCTCGAGCAAAACAGGATGAAACAGATGCACCTCATTTCAACATGCACACACCTTGCGGGTATCCCACCACAGCAATCGACTCCTGCAGCAGCGGCACGTCCCCCGGCTCTAATGCGCGCATGCCTGTCATGGGAGCACGCTACCATCAAGAAATAGTTAACCTTATGAGAGCATACCTACCTTATGCGCGCGCGCGCATGCCTAACTTGAGAGTACCACCAACGTTAAGTAATAGTCTACCTATGCACGCACACCACACACCTTGCGGGTATCCCACCACAGCGATCGACTCCTGCAGCAGCGGCACGTCCCCCAGCTCTAGTGCGCGCATGCCCTCCCAGAACTCCTCGCTGTCCGCGCGCGCATCCCCGCTCCCCCCGCCGTTGATCCCCCCCTCCCCGCTCCCCACGCTCGCGGGGTCCTTCACTGACAGCAGCGCCAGATCGCAATCGTGCGCCACGGCTTCCACTGTAGCGAGGAACTTCTTAGGGGATCCGTGCCTTCTAACGAGTACAAACGTGTGGTCCGCGACGACGTGCGCGCTGGTGAGGATGCGGCGGCCAGATACGACGAATCCGGACCCTGTCACCTCGCGCTGCGGCTTGCTCTGCCACGGGAGCCAGTAGTTGGGGCTGCTCGCGACGGCGAACACTTTAACTACCGAGTCTAACGCCGCCTCGCGATCGTCCGACATGCCCACTATTCCCGGGCTCCCCGCGTTTCCCGCCGCGCCGTCCGCTGCTGCGCTGAAGCTCCTCGCGGCGGGGATGCCGAAGCTGGAGGTTCGGACGGGGGAGAATAGGACCGAGGCTGCCGAACCTCGGTAGGTGTGAGGCCAGGTTCGGCATTGGAATGTGCCTTGTAGCGGGGGCGCGGGAGAGTCGTGCGGGGGAAGGGCGGAAGCGGACAGGGCTAAAATAGCGGGGTTGGCGGAAGTCGGGGCAGAGGTGAGCTGGGGAGGAGCGTCAGGCGCGCGCGGGGCGGAGGCGGGAACGCAGACGCAAGCCACGCGCGCGGGTTGCGCGGACGGCGTAAAGGGAAGCAGCTGAGATGGGGAGGGGGAGGGGAGAACGCAAATCGCAGCGGAAGGGGAAGTGGCTGAAGACGCGGACGGGCAAGTATGGCGGTGAATGGTGCGGAGGAGGAGGTAGGAGAGGCGGTAGGCGGAGGGCAGGCAAGCGGAGACTGTCCGCTCGCGCGCCAGTGCCATCGCCATGATGATGGTATACGGCTATATTCTGTACCGGGTACAATATTGTTCAGGAACTTCCTCTTCTTCTGGGTAACGAGGTGCTTTATTGAGTCGACAAACGGATAGAGCCGAGGCTTGTAACGAAATCCAAGGTTAAGAAAGAGGAGGCTGTTGGAGGTTGGACCGAGAAAAGCGAGCGAATGGATCCCGAAAGCCCGCGAGTTCCGTCGATTAAGATACTGCACTGCGGCTATCACGGCGGTTGTCCTGCTTCATTGCTGCGGCTATAGCAGAGACCAGAGACCGTCAGAGGAACCTATTGTGAAGGGCAAAGGGTTCGAGTTGGCGGCCCCTGCAGTCACTACCGGGCTCAGATCCAAGATGCACCAGGGAACACAAACAGCGCTAGCACGATTACTGTGGACGATTACTAAATCTGCATTGTGGAATCTTTTCATAAGTTCCGTGCTCCGTGCTTTACAAACGGACTCGAGTCGACCCAACAAGGTCGAGTCGATGGTAGAATCCGTGCAGTTTGAACGAGGATCGAACCGTTGACTTGGTGAAACTCGAACGCGGGAAAGAGTGGCTCGAGACGAGAGCGATGGGTTTGAGAATACAGCAGAGATTTTCAGAAGCTTATCTCTAACCTCGTTCAAGTGTGTGTTTATCCCTCAGCATCAAATGAGGCACGCCTGTAACACTAGGTGCCAACATTAACCATCAAAACACCAGAATCGACCATAACCCATGTATAGGGAATAATTTGTATTATTTTTTTGTCGTGCCAGCGTTTTAAAATACGGTAAGGTAGATTGCATTGCAATGTATTAGTGATAAAAGAGTCGTTAGTTAATATACGTTTGGTGTTCGACGTTCATTTATAGATATATTGACTGACAAGAAGAGGCTGATGAAGAATCTCGAAGAATCTAGTCTGCTCGGAGGTGGTAGTGCTGATCCGTCCACGTCATCAGCGATCGACGTGGCTGTGCTCGCCAGTTTCGCCAAGTATAGGTTCAACTCAGCTTTTCTCTGCTTCTTTGGAAACTCGCTGTCGCAAGATACTGTCGCAAATCTCGCTGCGTCAACAGAAGCAATTGTCCGTCCATCTTCCTTCCAATCCCATTCCACATTCAAAATGTGAATCTTTCTCAACGATTTGTTGTTTCTCGTTTCTCCGCCGCCACTCATCGCTCTCCTCCAGCATCCTCCAGCCATGGCGTCTCTCTGCGCCTCCCTCGAGGCTGCCTCTCTGGCCAGCAGGTCTCTTTCCGCAACCACGCCTTTACCGCCAAGTCTGGATTTGATGCATCGAGTGCCTTCCCTGGATGTATTGGATTTGATGCCTTTACATTGTAGCATCTAGCGCCTTCCCTGCATCGATCCAATGCACTCTCTTTATTACTCCCTCATTCTCCCTTACTCTCTCTCCCCGTGTTCTTCCTCGTCGTAATCCCCGCAGCGCCACTCTCGCCTCCTCCTCGCGAACCCTTTGAGTCGACTCAAAAGTAAGTGAGTCGACTCAAAAGTCTCTCTTACTCTCTCCCCCCGTGTCTTTCCTCGTCGCAATCCCCGCAGCGCCACGCTCGCCTCCTCCTCGCGAGCCCTTGTCGCGGCGCGCTCTCCCTGCGTCGCGCCGTCGCGCCGTCTGTCGCATGTCGTCGCCAAGGCCTCGAGCGACGAGTCGAGCGACGGCAAGGCGACGACTCGCAGGGAGCTGATGCTCCGCTCGTCGTCGGCCGCCATGCTCGCCGCGCTCTTCCACTTCAGGTGGGTCGTCATTGCCACCAATAGCGGTGTGACTATGTGCGACGGTGATTGTAACGAGTCTATGAACCATGCTCGTCGTCGGCCGCCATGCTCGCCGCCGCGCTCTTCCACTTCAGGTGGGTGGGTGGGTGGGTGGGTGGGTGGGTGGGTGGGTGGGCCCTATCTATCGCGGTGGGTCGGCAGTAGTTACTGTCAGACTTTTGAGTCGACTCAGAAGTCAGCCTATCCATCGCGATGTCACGATGTGCGACGGTGATAGCGTGATACGTACTGATTCACACACGACTTCGGAAAGATCTATGCTGAGCTGCTGCAGTGGCAGGATGGGATGCTTGCGATGCGGCTGATCATGGTGGTGCGAAATTATGGTAGCATTGATTTTTAATCACGAGCGGTTGTGATTGGGATGAAGTGATTGTGCGTCTGGGCGAAGCTGGCGACGGCGGCGAATGCCGTCGCGATGGATTTGGATTTCGCGCGCAGTAGGCGGTAGCAGAAGCATTGCTATGTCGAGCCGAGTCGTTGATGATACCTTGAGTCGTGGCCACATCACATCACATCACATGCATGCAGCAGCTGCATCACGTGTACTTTATCGCATTCCAGAACTCAACCGCGCCCACCGCTGCTGGTCGCAAAACGTCAACTCAATCAATCTAGTGCCAGCTCAATCTTATTATCACTTTCATGCTCTCCATCTTCCTCCGCTGTGCCCCCACCCCAACCTCTCCTCCCCTCGCCCACTTTTCCCACATACTGGCAAGCGGCACACCCCCATCATTCCTCGGCGTGGGTGTGGTCGCTACACGCCCTCTCTGGCAGTCGGATAATCCCCACGCTCTCCCATCCACCCCCCTCCCCTTGCTGCCCTTGCAGCGGCACGTGCCCGTCTTTTCCGGGCGTGGCCCGCGACCCGCCCGCGCTGGCGCTGTGATTATCCTCATTCACTCCCATCACCCCACCACCCATCACCCCACCCCCCACCCCCTCCCCCCCCCCTTGCAGTGGCACGCGCCCGTCCTTCCTGGGCGTGGCCCGCGACCCGCCCGCGCTGGCGCTCTGCCCCGCGTCGCCCAACTGCATTTCCACGTCCGAGGAGATTAACGACCCCGGCCACTACGTGCCGCCCTGGTGAGAAGAACTACATACCCCCCTGGTGAGAAGAACTACATACCCCCCTGGTGAGAAGAACTACATACCCCCCTGGTGAGCCATAACAGAGTAACCATAGAGCCGCGTAGTGCTGTACTGTCCTGTGTTGCCCAAGTGCATTTCCACGTCCGAGTCGACTTAAAAGTCCCCTCGAACTGAGCAACCTGCAATGTTGCCAGCGGTAGTGCCCGCCGGTGCTTACGTCGCTATTTGAAGCGCCTTAGCGCTCGTTTTCAGGCCTCTTCTTTGTTCTTCTTCTTGTGTCGTTCATTCGTGTCCCATCTCTCATCTCCTTTTGCTGCTCGGTGTCAGTCAGCTGCACGTCCAACCCAGAAGCGAGGGAGACTCCCTGGCAGGTCGTGCATACCCCCATGTGCCACCCCCTGTGCGTCTCCCTTTCTCCCATCTTCTGCCGTCTTTTCCCGCCTTCTGCCCTGCCTCTCTGCCCTGGGGAGCTTACAGGGCGTACAACCCTGAGGAGGGACGCCACGTTCACGTGCTTCCCCCATATCCTGCTCCCCCTGCTCCTCCCTCTTTCTCCCGTCTTCTCCCGTGCCTCTCTCCCGTGCCTCTCTCCCGTGCCTGCCTCTCTCCCGTACCTCTCCCGCGTGCCTCTCTCTCGTGCCTGCCTTTCTCCCATGCCTCTCTCCCGTGCCACTCTGCCCCCTCGCCCCAACAGGACGTACAACCCCGAGGAGGGGCGCGGCAGGAAGAACCCCGCCTCGCAGGAGCAGGCAATGGAGGAGCTCGTTGCGGTGGTGAGTGGTGGAGAGGAGTGGAGTGGGTGGAGAGGAGTGGGTGGAGGGATAATGGGGGTGGTGAGTGCTGGTGGTGGTGATAAGTGGTGAAGAGAGGAGAGGATGGAGGGATGGTGGGGGGCTGACTGCTGGAGAGGAGGGATTTAACAGAAGTGGGAACGAAGGGGATAGGTGGGACAATAAACGCAAAAGCCAATGAGAAGGAATGAAAGAAAATGGAACGGAGTTGGTGATTGTTCCCCATTCGTCTCCTCTGCCCCTCGTTTGTGTTCCCTGTCCTTCCTGCTCGTTACTCGCTATACAACCTGCCTTTCCTCCCACCTCGCATCTCTCCCCTCTCATCACAGGTTTCCCGTTTTTTCCAGTTTCACGCTCTTAATTACTCTTAGCACTGGAATCAACGCCCACACACCCGCTATTTTCCATTCCGTTCTTCTCCATCCCAAAACCTCCCTTTTCCCCAACCGCTCCTCCCCCCTGCCCCAACACCCGTTGCCACCTGCCAGCCACCCCTGCATCCTCCTTTTCTTTTCACCCCCCTTGCGCGTCTCCTCAGGTGACGTCCGTCAAGGCTGATGGCTTCACGCTTATCATCATCACCCGCGTTTTACTCTTCACTCACCCCTGCTTGTTCCTCGCCCCTGTCCCCCCTCTTTTCCATCCTCTCCCTTACTCCTTTCAACCTTGCTCCCCGCAGGTTACATCCACCAAGCCCGATGGTTTCACGCCCACCATCATCACTCGCCGCCCCGACTACCTCTATGTGGAATACGAGAGCCCGCTCATGGGGGTGAGTGGGTTGGGTGGGATCTGGATGGGTATGAGTGGGTGGGATAGCGCATGTAAATGAAACTCTCGTCCCTCCATCATCACCCGTCGCCCCGACTACCTCTATGTGGAATATGAGAGCCCGCTCATGGGGGTGAGTGGGCTAAGCGGCCTTGGGTACCATGTGAATAGGGGTGAATGCATCATGCATGTGCCGCCATGATCACCCACCGCCCCGACTACCTCTACGTGGAATACGAGAGCCCGCTCATGGGGGTGAGTGCCTTGAATGGGTGGCATGCGAATGAGTGTGGGTTGCCTCTGGTATGAAGGATGCTTGTCTCGTGGGTTTCAGTGCAATGCTGCTTCATGCAGTGCAGGTGCCGCCATCATCACTCGCCGCCCCGTCTACCTCTATGTGGAATACGAGAGCCCACTAATGGGGGAGAGTGGCTGCCCGCTCATGGGGGCGAGTGGCTGGCCGCTCATGGGGGTGAGTGGGATGGGTGGCATGTGAGTGGGACAGTGCACATGGTATGAAGGGTTTCTTGTCTGGGCGTCGGTGCACTCCTCGCATGTGAAAGGGGGTTTTGTGCCAATGCCACCATACCATCATCACTCGCCGCTCCGACTACCTCTATGTGGAATATGAGAGACCGGTTGAGTGGGATGGCACTCACTCTTTCGCCGCCTTTGCGCCTTCCCCACCCCCCTCCACCACTTCCCTCCTTTCCTCCCCACCAGTACGTGAATGATCTGGAGTCTAGACAGCCGTTCCTGGGTGGAGTATTCCAGTGTGTTGCGGCCTCACCTGTGTGCTCACCCTCTCGTTCCCCTATCCCATCCCTATCCCATGCACCCCAACTCAGCCTCCTCCCACACCTCCCCAACAGTACGTGGATGATGTGGTATCCAGGCAGCCATTTCCGTGTCGGAGCACCGCAGTTCCTGCTGCCAAGCTCTCACCTGTCTGCTCACCCCCTTCCCCCGTAACCCCCTCCTTCCCTGCGCTCTCCCCTTCCCTCCTCTCCCCTTCCCCTTCCCCCTTAGTATGTGAACGATGTGGAGTTCTGGTTCTCTCCAGGCAGCCCCTCCCTGGTAGAGTGTTGAACCTGCTTTCTGCTGAGCAGCAACAGCAGCGAATGCAGGAGCAAGTGGAGGAGCAGCAGCAGTAGCAGCGGCGGCAGCAGCAGCAGTGGACATTAGCATCATCTGTGCGTGAGACCGAGCTCAGCGAGCAGCAGCACTGCCAGAAGCTGCTGTTAGAGCGGCAGCTCGAGGAGCAGCGTCTGGCAGTGCTGCTGCTCGCTGAGCTCGCTCTCACGCACAGATGATGCTGATGTCCACTGCTGCTGCTGCTCCATTTGCTCCTGCATTCGTTGCTGTTGCTGCTCAGCAGTAAGCAAGTTCACCTTACTCATGACATGACCCCCCCTTCTCACAGTATGTAGACGACGTGGAGTTCTGGTTCCCTCCAGGTAGCCGCTCCCTGGTGGAGTACCGCAGTGCATCCCGCTCTCACCTGTCCTCCCTTCCCACCCCTACTCCAACCCCCCACCTCCCCCCTTCCCCCTCCCCATCTCCCGCTCTTCCTCCATCCTTTCAGTACGTGGACGACGTGGAGTTCTGGTTCCCCCCCGGCAAGCGCTCTCTGGTGGAGTACCGAAGTGCATCCCGGCTGGGGGAGAGCGACCTGGACGCCAACCGCAAGCGCATCAAGGTGCGATGGTAGACGGGGAGGAGGTGGGGCTTGGATGGGTGGGGGATGAACTGGGAGGGTTGCCATGGAGTTCTGGTTCCCCCCTGGTAACTGCTCTCTGGTGGAGTACCGCAGTGCATCGCGGCTGGGGGAGAGCGACCTGGATGCCAACCGCAAGCGCATCAAGGTGAGGGGTTGGGGGATGGGAGGGGATGGAAGGGGGGGGAGTAGAGAGGGGATGGAAGGGGGGGGGTTGGGTGATTTGGGAGTTCTGGTTCCCCCCGGCTTGGGGAGAGCGACCTCGATGCCGACCGCAAGCGTATCAAGGTGCGATGGTGAAGGGGGAGGGGAAGAGGTTGGGGGGCTGGTTGTGGGTGGGTGGGAGGTGAATTGGATCGCTTGCACTGCATGGCGGCCAAGTGGTGGGCCTTTCCACGCTCCCTTGCCTTCCTGTGCACCCTCCTGTTGAATCCTCCTTCCATCGCCATCGCTTGCATTTCAAGCTTTGGGGTGAGACCTTAGTGAGGTGGGCTCTAATGGGCCAAGCAAAAGCTGGGAAGGGAGCGTGAAAGCCACAATTGCCCCTCTCTCATCTCTCCCATGCCCCCCACGTACATTGCAGGCGCTGCGGGTGGAGCTGCAAAAGTATGGCTGGGCTTCTGTGGGCTACTAAAAGTTGGCTTGGCTCACATCACATAAGGCTTGCTGCTAAAGTGCCATTGCCAAGAAATCATGGATGCCTTTGCTTTATCCCATGGGTTTCCACATGCAATACGGTTCTAATACCTGTATCACCCCAAGGTGCTGCTGAAAGTTTCTTTGTGTGAGTGAATCAATGAGAACAAAGGACAGTATGGATGCTTGGCTGCCTGCAATGCAGCTCGATGAGTATCAGGATTTTTCAATATTGTGATCCCCTGGGCATAACACCTACCGACCAGAACACCTGTACCCGTTTGTCCTTAAAGTAGCTCATCCTTTACTGGAGCCAACTAGATACTAGGTAAACTCTATCGAGCATCAAATACGGTAAAGAAAGAAGAGAACTAGACCAGAATGTACTATTTAACCTGCATTCTTGTCAAGCATCTGTTTCTATGGTAGTTCAGCTCTACTACCTCCTGCTCATCAGTCTTGTGGTGGAGTGGAGAATGTATTCAAGTCAAGGCCTGTTGGATTTGCCCTGTTGGATACATTTAGCTAGTTTTCGCGAATGCCAGTTCTTGAGTACTATAGGTTATGTGAAATCTCACAAAAGCGAGAACGCAAATTTTGGAATTTCAAACTCCTGCTTGTTGGACTTGCGCTTCGGTAAATTCTTGCGAAGGCGTGTTCAATAAGAGTTGAACCACACCAAATTGGGGGTTACAGAGAATGTAACCAGCAGGAACGACCCTAACGAAAGCTTTCTCCACGTAGAACGCATTACATTTTCATTGTGATTCGTGCAACGATTTTTCCTTTCCGTCATGCCCAAGAGAACAGTTTCGTCATCTGTTACAGAGACGAATATTTTCGCAAAAGAACAAGAATGAAGAAGCTCGCAGAGCCAGTTCCTCAACGTGGTTTTGATCCTACTTGTGAATATGACCCTGCACCTCGGCACTACCATCACCCTCCCTCACACCGAGGAAGCAAGTCAGCAGCACCTTTCCTGTTTGTACTTGCAAGCCAAGACTTAAGCGCTGTGGCAACGTGAGCAGCCATTATTTCTGTATTGCAGCTAACCATTAGCGTGTTACTGCCTGGAGGTATCGACACGGCTCCCATCGCTAGCGTACCCCCTGCTGTTTTATCGACTGCTGTCCGCCGTAACTCCGCCACTTTGTAGAGTTTTGATGATGTCGCGAGCTGGTCACCGCTCCGTGACCCGCCAGCGAAGATTGATAGCGAAGGTGATAAATGCGACAAATTCGCGAACCGTGAGAAATGTGAGCGACGCTATAGATGCGATAAATGCGACGGATGCGTTGCATGGGCGGAACAGGCAGAATGGAATTATGGCCGAGCGAGGCGAGGCGAATATACGAGAGAACGTGGACGCGACTGTGATAGCAACGGGGGCGAGGAGCCGCGAAGAAGATAAGAACGGAATTGAGAGTGTAATGGCGGACTTGGAGGAGTGGATTGAGAAGAAGGTTGAGGCGATTTCCGCACTGGCGGGCGCGATTAGGACGGAGTGGGAGAGCGGCGTGGTGGCGTCACGACGCGGTACGACAGGGCGCAAGCGAGCTCGCATGGCTGATGGGTCTTCCTCAGAATCGTTGGTGATGGTGAGTGCGAATCCCACATGTTTCGCATGTGTCGCACATGTCGCCCATGTGTCGCGCACGTCTCACATGCGTCGCAGATGTCGTGCATGTCGAACCATGAATACACCATCCGCGGTAAGCGTGAGGCGAGCGAAGAGGCAAAATGCATGGACTCAACCCCATCGTCCCCCGTTTCCCTTCCAACCGTATAAGGGGGGCCCTGCCATGAGCCCATGCAGAACTCATCAGGCCCCCCACCCACCCCGCTTTCCACCCCATCAACCCCCTTCACCTCCCCCCCTCCCTCCCACTTCCTTTCCCCACAATCTCCTTCCTCTCCCTCTTCCCTCGCTCTTCCCCCCCTTGTTCCCTTTCCTCCTTTCCTTGTTCCTGCTTCTTCTTCCGGCAGCAGCATCTGGCCGCGCTGTCAGCCCATGCGGAAGCCATCCGAAATGGACGCGTGGAACCCAACCCCTCTGGCCCCCTCCTCCCTGTCCTTCCCCATTGTCCCCTGCCTCCCCATCCTAAACAGCAGCATCTGGCCGCGCTGTCAGCCCATGCGGAAGCCATCCGAAATGGACGCGTGGAACCCAACCCCTCTGGCCCCCTCCTCCCTGTCCTTCCCCATTGTCCCCTGCCTCCCCATCCTAAACAGCAGCATCTGGCCGCGCTGTCAGCCCATGCGGAAGCCATCCGAAATGGACGCGTGGAACCCAACCCCTCTGGCCCCCTCCTCCCTGTCCTTCCCCATTGTCCCCTGCCTCCCCATCCTAAACAGCAGCATCTGGCCGCGCTGTCAGCCCATGCGGAAGCCATCCGAAATGGACGCGTGGAACCCAACCCCTCTGGCCCCCTCCTCCCTGTCCTTCCCCATTGTCCCCTGCCTCCCCATCCTAAACAGCAGCATCTGGCCGCGCTGTCAGCCCATGCGGAAGCCATCCGAAATGGACGCGTGGAACCCAACCCCTCTGGCCCCCTCCTCCCTGTCCTTCCCCATTGTCCCCTGCCTCCCCATCCTAAACAGCAGCATCTGGCCGCGCTGTCAGCCCATGCGGAAGCCATCCGAAATGGACGCGTGGAACCCAACCCCTCTGGCCCCCTCCTCCCTGTCCTTCCCCATTGTCCCCTGCCTCCCCATCCTAAACAGCAGCATCTGGCCGCGCTGTCAGCCCATGCGGAAGCCATCCGAAATGGACGCGTGGAACCCAACCCCTCTGGCCCCCTCCTCCCTGTCCTTCCCCATTGTCCCCTGCCTCCCCATCCTAAACAGCAGCATCTGGCCGCGCTGTCAGCCCATGCGGAAGCCATCCGCGCCAAGGTGCGCGGAGTGGGGAAGTCTGTCCGCGGACTTGAGGGGCGGAAGGCGCAGAGGGGGGAAATGGAGGGTGGGGATGAGCGGGGAGAGAACAAGGAGGAGCGAAGTGGGGAGGACGGTGGAAAGCAGGATCAGGGTAAGAAGGAAAAGGAGGAGGAAGGGGGGAAGGGGGAGAAGGAGGGGGAAGGGGAGAAGGAGGGGGGAATGAGGGACGAGGTGAAGGAAAAGACGATTGATTTGGTAGACGAGACAACGGAGGAAGGAGATGAAGAAATCTTGAATACGAACTCTGCTGGAGAAGCAAGGGAGGAGATGACGCTTGGGCTGCAGCACAAACAAGGAGAAGCGCCAGTAGAGGCAGCAGGAGAAGGGCTGGGAAGGGAGGGGAGAGAAGGGCGCGCGGCAGAGAGGCCGGGAGAAGCAGGGAGGTGTGAGGGGGATGACGATGCAGAGGAGTGTGAGCGGGATGAGGAGGCTGAGGAGGCTGAGGAGGACGTAATGGAGGAAGGAGTTGGGGAGAACTGTCACTCAGATGAGGTGAGCAGTGTCGGTTGGGGGAGGTTCCGTTCCACACTTCTTCACTCAATGCTGTCAGAGCATCCAGCTACAAATCCATCGGCCCGGTTTTCATTTGTTCTAGCATGGAGAGAATGCGAAAGTGTGTTTTTTCCTGATGCTATTGCTAAATGCTCTTGAAACATCACAGCTGGTTACACATCCATCACCGTACTTCTCATTAGCATGTTCATGGAGTGAGTGTGAACAAAGGTGCAATTGATTCCCCATGCAAGAAGGCTGTGTCTCTTAGAAAGTACCACCTCCTTATAGTGGCTTATGCGTGCTTCATGACCGCAGCGCTAATGGAACCATGTGGGCCTATCATGTATTACTATAAATTGCCACGTACAGTAATGTGAGACTGTTTTCTCATTGGCTTGATAGTTTCACACTCCCATGCAGTCACTCCTTCCCGCCGTTTCTTTCCTTCCTCTCTCCCAACTCCGTTCCTTCCATTCCCCCCACGCTTGTCTTGTTCCTTATCCTTCTTTCCACCTCCCATCCCAGCTATGCAGAGCGACTCTCACACTCTCATTTGTTCTTCCCATATTCCTTCCTCACGCACTCTCTTCTGCCCTTCTTTTTTCTCACTCAGATTCCCTTCCCCCATCCTTGTGCTTTGCCCCTCCCACTCGTTCCGCTTCCCTTTCTCTTTTTCCGTGTTCCGTTCCTTCTTCCTGATATTTACAAAGCTTTCCCGCTACTTACACTCTTTGTTGCTCCTCTTGATTCCAACTCTCGTTTCTCCATCACCCCGCACCGTCCATCTGCCTCCCCTGCCCTTCTCTCACAGCCCCTCGGCACTGCAGCAGGCCGCTCCTTTCTGCATTCTAAGGGAGAAGGGCAGGAGAAAGGGGCAGAGGAGACTGGGGCTAGGGAGAACATGCAGGGCAGCATGATTGCAGGGAGGCGCAGACGGGTGAGCATGGTGGGGAGTGAAGAGTGGGAGTATGGCGACTGGGAAGGGGCAGAAGAGCCCCTGGCGAATGAACTGTTAGTGTCTGTGGAGCGATGGGCACGGGACGCAGGGCTGTGCGGAGCAGCAGCAGTGGCAGAAGCAGCAGCAGATGGGCAAGGTTCAGCAAGCGAGGGAGGTGGTTCACGTGTGGAGGTGCAGAGTGCATTGGGTGGCAATCCAAGTGAGAGCGAGATCAAGGCGCGTGTGTGGGGGGAGATAGACACCTTGCTGTGGCTGTCACGGCGTGAATTCTCCTCTGATAGGGAGCGGCTTGTGGAGAAATGTGCCCTCGCTGCAGCTGTCCACTTCCTCACCTCTTTGCCCCTCACGGAGCAGCAGATCAACCCCCCAGCTGCTGCTGCCCATCCGACCACCCTTCCTGCCCGTCAAAACCCTGCTGCTGAGCGTCCGAACCACCTGCCAGCATCACAGGAGATCGCCCCTGCAACGCAGCAGCTCAACCCCCCATCGCAGCACATTGCACTCAGCGGCTGCCACCTCAACCACTTTCTCGCCCTCGCTCCCACCTTCCGCCCCACCCTCCTCCCCTCCCTCGCCTCCCTCACAACCTACCGCACCTCCGTCTCTCCCCGCGACATGCTCTTCCTCCTCCGCCTCCCTGCGCTCACCTCCCTCTCCTTCCATCAAACCCGCGTTGTTCCCGAAGCCCTGCTGCTCCTCCAGTCCTTCACCCGCCTCCACCGACTCATCCTCGACTGCCCGGGCCCATCAACCCTGTCTTTCAAGCCTTCAAAGGGGACATTGCCTTTGAGGGGTCTGAGAGAGCTGCATGTGAGCCGGGTGACTGACTCTGTTCTGCAGCAGGTGGGGATGCTGACGAGCCTTGAGGTCTTTTCCTGCACGTGCAGCGAGGGGGTGAGTTTCAGGGGCTGGATGTCCCTGCAGTGGTTGCAACAGCTGAGACTGCTCCGAGTGGGACCAGCACATCTGGACCGTCATGCTTTGAGAATTGACTATCCCAACGGCCGCTTGCCGACGGTTTCGCGGGTGTTTGAGAGGCTGGTGAAGACGCAAGAGGATGCTGCTGCTCGGAAGAAGAGTGTTCAAGAAGTGACACACTTGAAAAGGTTGACGAGGCAAGAGGATGATGGCAATGATGATGATGGCGGGGTGTGGACTGTCGTGAGTTTGCTGCAGCGTCTGCAGTGCCTGGAGCTGCATGGAATCCCCCACTCTATCTACGCCTGCGTGTCTCTGGTAGAGCTAAGCCTTCTCACCTCTCTCCACATCACCGGCACTTGCCTTGGCAACGACGCGTTCACACGGTTGACTAGCTTGACCTGGTTGACCCACCTCAGCCTCGCCGGGTGCACGTTCACAACTGATGGTCTCGTGATGAAAATAGCACACTGCCTGCCGAGTCTCGTGTTTCTGGACCTCTCGGGAACGGCCGTCACCCAAGGCGACACCGTCAACATGCAATCTCTCAAGTGCTTGAAGCACTTAAAGCTGCAGCAGTGCTGCAACATTGGCGGCCCGTTTGTGCGGTACCTCTGCCTTGTGCCGCGGCTCAGGGTGCTGGACCTGGGCTTTAACCACATGCCGGCTGTGTGGTTGACACATATTGTTGAGGGGAAGAGAGTGAGAAGGCTGAGTGTGAGGGGGTGTGGGTACATGGGGAAGACGGTGTGTGGGCTTGAACGGCCGTGGATTGTGATCGAGTCCTAATGTGGTGTTGGTTGTTGGAACTTAACACGTTTGATACGTGGCTGGTGTTGCATGGTTGTGGGGCATGTGGTGTATAGGATGTGGTGTGGTGTATGGCATGTGACGCATGGCGTGTGATGCATGTCATGTGATGGTCGATTCCTGATGTCTCAGGGTGAAAGGTGCATGGGCTTTAGTTCAATGGCCTTATCTTTTTGTAACTTTGTGCTTCCTTGGCTTTATATTTATGCGGGGTGGTCATCGGTGGGGGGAGGTATTCATCTGTGGGAGGTGGTGCTAATTGATGTGAGGTATGGTAGGGCTTGGATGGATGTTAAAGTATCATGCACGATGCATGGTGTATGAGACATTATAATGGCATGTGCAATTTGAAATTATGGGTTCTTTTCATTCAACCCCTAGACCACTAGCGCTGATTGGGGTGGGGGGGGGAGGAATGGGAGTGGTGAAGGGGGGGGCGGCGCGGGGTGGAAAATGGATGGGCGGTTAGGGCGTGTGTCCTTTGGTGTCTTATCCTTGTACAATTTGGTATTACGTAATCTTGGAGGTTGTGGTTCCTAGTGATCCACACATGTATTGTGGTTCAATCGGAAGGTACCGTAACAAAGGGTTGCTGAGACCAGTGACATGCACACACATGGTTTCATCTCACAAAGCGAGTCGAGAAACACGGGTTGCACCGCGACGTCTTATAAAGCGTAGCATAGCGCCCTTGCATCCCAACTGCACTTTCATGCTGAACTAAACATCCAGCATCGTCCCTTCTGTCGCATCCCATCTGCACATCCATCGTCCACGGTTGCTATTAGAGCTATAGCCCCGTGACGTGACACAAAGAGTACCGTAATCACCCGGACATACCACCCGCCGAAATTGAAGACCCCCCGGGTGGCTTGTGCGGGGTGGGTGCTATAGCGGACCTCGTTTCTACTATACCCTATGTGCGCGTTGTAAGAATCGGCCGGCTCGTGCAGTGTGAGGTCGGTATTGTACTATGCAACCAAAGACCCGTAACATTTTTGTGCTGCCCAATTTTCCTGTCCACAGCAGATGCGGTGATGCGTTGTTCGGGAGCGATGATGACGAGAGCAAGTTGTGCAGCAGTACAGCATGGTGGTCATTGGTGGTTGGGTAGTCGCACGCAACATAGCAGCTTGCGCATTGTGTTCTACGGGTCCTGTTCAGCCATTCTGCCACACCTTGTTGTTGATGAGCGTAGGGAAGAGAGATGAGTCGCTTGATGCCTCTCCCTGCCAAGTACTGGTTGAACCTCTGTGACTGATATTCCCTCCCTCCGTCTGACTGAAAGCTTTTTAGCTTCACTCTCGATTCCCTTTCTGCTACTGGAAGCCAAGCGACGAAGGCTTCGAAGGCTAGCGACTCGGAAGATTGAGGTGCCTGATGTATCTGGTGGCGGCGTCGATGAACGTGATTACGTAGTTGTATGCTCCCTGTCCGCTTTCGCGGGCGTACAGTATGTCGCTGTAGACTTTCTCCAGTGGTGCGTATGCTAGGGCGCTTGGGTTGTGGTGAGAGACGAACGGCTGATGGGGTAAGTCGGCTTCGGGGCAGGTAAAGCAAGTTCCGCGAACTCGTTGAAGTTCTTTGCCGTGTGGTAGGAGTAGTGAGTCCTTGTCGAGAACTCCTGCTCTTATCGTGTTGTTCAGTATCGTGTTGCTGGGATGCCCTAACCTTTCATGCCACATTGGTTCGTTGGCGCGATGTCCAGGTCCAGGTGATCGTCTGTATAGAGCGGAGTCGGAGTACAAGCTCGCGGCGATGTTGGCACTTCTGTGGACATCGCGTGGAGCGGGGAGTCAGCTGCTGGGTGGGAGTCGGTATGAAGTGTTGGAAATGGACATTGGTCTTTCTAAGGGCTACAGGTGTCGTCCTGGGAGGGTATGGGTGCGCTGACCCACCAACTAAATATGCCCTTTTAGCCCAGTTGGTTAGCGAACTGGACATGAATTCGTTAATGGGAGGTGGTGCTACTGAGGGGCCGGCGATTGGTGCTGTTCTCTCTATTGTTGCTTCTCCGGGTGTTGTTTCTGCCTCTGTTGGTGTTGTCTCTGCTTCTGCCTGTGTTGTCTCTGCTTCTGCTGATGTTGTCTCTGCTTCTGCAGGTGTTGTCTCTTCTTCTGCCGGGGTTGTTTGCCGAATTGTAGCTAACGCTCCTGTCCGTTCTGCTTCAGGTATTGTCTGTGAGTACCAGAAGCCTCCGGGGCTGAAATCGGGGTCGAGATCCGGCGGGTGTGTCCAAGTGGTGAAGTTGACTATTGCGTCGCTACCAGCGGTGCCTTAATCTGGGACGAAGTCGAGGACGAAGACGTTATTTTTCAAGACCGCCTTCCCAATGTAAAGTCCACCCTTCCCGTTGTACAGTTTGAATTCCTGGGTGGTGCTGTCGGCTTCGAGACGAATTCCTTTTGCCATGAGTCGGCTGACGCTGAGTAAGTTGTAGCTGATTCCTTCTGCAATAAGAAATTTTGACATCTGTAGGATAACGTTGGTCTCGAGCGACTGAAGTTGAACCACTCCTTGTCGTCGTGTGCGCAGGTTCTGATTGTTGGCGACGGTTATCACGACTTCGCGGTTCAGGCGTTGCTCCCGTTGAACAAAAAGATTTGAAGAGCACATGTGTTGTCCGCAGCAACTGTCCAAGAACCAAGTGTCCTTCCCGGACGGTTCGCTTTGAGCGATGCCTGCGTACGTCGGGTTCGGTTCCAGCGATTCACGACGAGGTGTTCGTTCGTCGAGCAATTCTTCCAATGAGTAAGTTGGTGGCGATTCAGTGATGTAGGAGTCCGTTCTTGCCAGCTTACGATGTTTCTTATGCCTCGTGCAGGTTGTGTCGTTGTCGTTGAAGACTGCGCCTGATTGGAGGGATGTAGTTGCGTGGAAGTTACTTGGCTGCTTGAGGGTCGAAGTTGTCGTGGCGGTGGCGTTGACTGTTGCTGATTTGGGCAATGAATACGGGAGTGACCGGACGTTCGGCAGAGGTGACATAATGCTGGTACGTGTCTTCGTGCTTGATGTTTGTTCTGTCAGTTGTTGTTGTTGTTGTAGCGCCGTTGAGTGTGAAATGCGAACTCCGGCACTGATGCCCTTTTCTTGTAACGTTCTTCGTGCAGGTCCATGTCTTGTTGCTCGGCATGAATTTCAGCGCAGAGGTTTGCTTCTTCCATTGGCGAGGAGAATGACCCTGGTGGAGCGCCACTGAGGACCGAGGCCTGTGATGACGATAGTGGCGAAAGCTTCTTTATATATTGATCTGCCGCATCTAAAGAATTTGTCGCGCAGACTGCGACAGCGACGAATATATGCCATTCCTTTTACGCCGGGTTGCAATTGGACTGTTGTCAATTGCGCCATGAGGCGACTTTGATTAACGCTGTCGGTTGCCTGATACAGGTTCTTCAGGTGGTTGTACGCGAGCTCGGCGGAGTTACCGTATCCGCGATAAGACAGGATGTTCTGCTGCTCATTTACCGTTATGTTTCGCAGGAGTATGGTGTACGCCATTAGTGACAGATACATATACTGCTGCTTGCCGTACTGTGTTCCGTGCGTTGGATATGGCAGGTTACCGTCGAAGAAGCCAAGGATTTGAGCACCTTCCATCATCAGCTCGAACTCGAATGACCAGGTATAGAACTCTTTCACGTCGAATGGTGTTGTCATTTGCAGTTTCAGAATATGTGCGAGCTGTGACTGCAGCTGAAGTGTCTTCGTTTCTTGTCCAGGTGGAAGCCGATTTGGCATGAAGCTGTTGGAGCCATGTTGAGGCTTGTATGGTGCGAAGGTAGGCTGCTGATTCCCGCGCGCAAAAGATGAGCCGTCAAGATTCATGGGAGTGACTCCATTGTTGTTGTTGCTGTTGTTTGATTGCGCTGGCGTCGCTTGTTGATGTTGTTCGTAGAACGACATGAAGGAGAAGAATTTCTCCATCATGCTTGGGCCAAAGCCGGTTGCTTGATTCACGAGAATTTCAGTAGACTCAGTAGCTAGTCTTTGAGTTCTGCCTCCCTCTGTCTGTAATTTGGAGGTTGGTGGAGTAGGAGTAGTGCCTGGAGATCCAGTAGACAAGCTTTTTTCTTTCTGTGTTGCCATGCAATCTGTATTTGTAGGAGGTTGAACAGAGTTGAGACTTGTCTTGCTCGCTCTCGTACCATGTTGGGCTGAGAAAAACCCTTGGGATCGTTTTCAAGACTAAGGCTTTGGATAATGATTTATTAGCGAAAGCGTCTTAGTGAACAAATTGAACCACCTTGTACTGGTATGTGAGAACAAGATAAGTTGGTTAGCAAGGGAATACAAAGCTTTTCATATGATTACAAGGAATATGAAAGGTTTAACTAACTGTTGTTGTAACTGCTGTTGCGGTTCGATACAGCGACGACTCGGGTAACTGCTCAATAGCGAGTCAGTTATGTATCCTTTCTGTCGCGCTGCTTTCGGCGAGTCAAAGGTCGTTGACCTTTGACCTTCGCTTAACCTCTTGCTGTTGCTTATGCCAACCGCTTCGGATGACTCGCTGTTACTTCGCTGTAGTTCGCTTCGCTTATGTTGTAGTGCTCGACACATCAAAAGCGCGAACTACATGTTTCCAACAGAACGGTCGAGTGTTATACGCGTTATGGTGGTGAGTGGTAAATAATATTTTCTTAGTCTCCTTACATTCAGAAACAATCAGCTTTACGTAAAAAAATCTTCGAAGCCAAAAAAAAATATTCTTACAGCGAGGGCCTGAGCTAGGATTTGGGGCACCATGAGGCCTCAGGGCAACTCATCATAATCTTGAAAAATGCCCTGATTTGTTAAAGGAATTTTTTCAAAGGCATCCTGTAGGTCCAGGGCTTCAGCAGAAATTAATCCTGACCGGCCAGGGCAAATAAATGAATGTTCAGGGTAGCACTCTTAGCAAGGCCTGGAACAGAAAGTTGGAGGCTCATTATCAGAGAGACGCACACCTACCAGCGAATGCAACGCTCAAGACAATT